CTTCTTGACAAAACCGACCCTGGCATGGCCATGCTCGGTTTTGGCAAACTGCTTGGGACTTTGTTATGAAAAACCTTTTTATTCTTTTGAAAAACAGCCCATTTTCTACTCCGATCATCTTTCCAATCATCATTCCGAGAAAGATTTCTAGAGGACTTTTTAGTTAAATACCTTCCTCTGAATTTGTTCTTTCGTCTTGAAGATTCAAAATGTACAAACATATGATTTTGACAATTTCTAGCTATATGACCACCAATACCACAATTGAAACAAATCTGTTTGTTATTGTTATAACTTGTGCTACATTGATCAGATTTGTTTTCCATACTAACACCCTTGCTTCTCTCACAAGAACAAGAACAAGAATTAGGTTGTTAGACAAGTGAGGGTACATTAGATGGAGAAGCTTGTGAAACTGGTGGTTTTTCAATATTTTCATCACAAACATTAGAATTGCTAACCACATTATTCAAAACAGTATCAAACACTTGGAACCCATTCAAAACATTATTAAAAGAAACAGAAACACCACAAAAAAATTGTCACTTAAAACATCAGAAAAAGTATTGTCTTTATTTAAAACTAAAACTTTAGGTTCAGACTCAGTTTTATTTTCAGAAACAGATCCTTCAACTTCGTGCTTTGACTGATTCAAGGATTGATCTACAGGAGAAGTAGAAATGTTGGTACTTTCAACATTAATAAATCCTCCCAGAACAAAACGAGATGGCTTTCCATAAACCATGAATGATTCATTGTCAATCTCTTCTTTGGACAAAGGTTGAAACTGATATGTATGATTGAAAGGAGGAGGCACTTGATTATACCCTAGATCCTTTGACTGATTTCTTTTAAATTGCACGCAGTGGTCTATCATATTTGTAACTACCTCACTCGATACATCAAATTTTCTAAAGTCAAAATCAGCAGTTTCAAATTTGCTCTTTAATGATTCAATTTCAACCACTAGTTCAGCGTTCTGTTTCATTATATAGTCATAATTTTTTTATTTATTACTATAGTCTTCCTGAAGTCTCCTAAAGTCCTTTATTTTAGATTTTAATTGGGCTTTAAGAGGTTTTTAGCCTTTTCTGAGTTGGTAACCTTCATATCTAAGATCCTCTAATTCCCTTTTTAGTAAGTCATTATGTTCACAGAGAGTTTCAAGGTTCTCTACATCTCTACCTAGTGTCTCAATTTTCTCATGCAACATTATAACATAATCAATACAAGCCTGAGAGCATGAGGGTAGACTTACCTCGTTTTTATTAGGTTCATGAGAGGAAGATACCATCAGTGCAAATTGCAGCTTCATCATTTGATCTTCAGCTGCAATAATCTCTGCCGGAGCATCACCACCAACCTGTGCCAAATGGGCATTTTCAGGTCCAGATATGTTCAAGGCCTACATCTGATCCTCCCATTCAAAAGATTGTGCAACCATGGCCTTCTCATTGTTGACATGAGCACCATTTCTATTGTTTACAACTGCAACCATTATTCTGTTATTATTTAATCTTCTATTTGGCTGTGGACAATCACGATGAAATTGCCCTAGATCGTGGCAGTTGAAACATCGTAGCTTTCCCTTGTTGAACCCAACCTTCTTGTCAGCACTCATCACCCAGTTGTTCTTTCCGTTCTTCTTGGCAAATTGTTTCGCCCTGAAAACTGCCATGTCAATTTGCCATGTGATATCCATCTCTTCTACGTCTTCAGGGTGAATCTGATCGAGATCAGCAAATGATAGTTGGGGTGGAAGATCTCCAGCCACAAGTGCATTGTAGCAGGTGACAAGCCCTGTAGCAAGAGCAACGTTTTCATCACCCTCCTTTCCTTTTGAAGAAGAAGCCATGTTGGAGGAAGAAGCAGCTTGAGTAGCCACGAACGATTGGTTCCGAGAGTGAGGCATGGCTGATGTAGTAGGAAGAGAAGAAGCTGATGGAGTGGAGAAAGATTGAACCTGAGCTTGTTGTGCAGCAAATGATTGACCTGCGGAAGAAAAAGTGAGAGATGAATGAGCATTGTTAGAGGAGATCCCAAGGTTAGCAGCTGAGTATGAGTTCACATGGTTTATCTCTTGCTGCTTGTCATCAATATCATAGGCCTTGATGACAGCCATTACTTCAGCAAGAGAAAGTCGGCTAAGATCTTTAGTCTTCTTTATAACAGCTACATTCATGTCCCAAGACTTTAGGAGAGCATTTAGCAGCTTCTTGTTTATCTCAGACTTGGTGTAGAAAATCCCGGCTACAGTCATTTCAGTGTTAAGAGATGTGAACCGTTGCAGTTGTGCTTCAAGATTTTCTCCGAGAACATAGTTGAACATACTGAAACGTTGTCGCAGCATATCTTGGCGATTCTCCTTCATATCTTCGTTCCTTTCATAAACCTCTATTAGGGCTTCCCACAAAGCCTTAACAGAAGTGTACTCCCTGAAACCTTGAGCAATATCCGGAGATAGAGCCATGGTCAAGGTGGTCAAAGCCTTTTCTCGCTCTTCAACCTTCTCGAAGTCTTTATCTGTGTAATTTTTAATCTTCTTGTCAACCAATTGACCTGAAACAGTAGTGGTTATTCTGACAGGATCTTTTATTATGCTTCTCCAGATTTTGAAGTCCTTCATCTTGATGTACTTTTCAATTCTATACTTCCATTCTGGGAAACCTTCAACGGACAAGAGTCTAGGAATTCAGGTGCCTATTACGAAATCCAGCTCGTGGTGGTGTGTTTGACTTTGAGAATCCATTATTATTATTAAATTAATATGAAACAGAAATTAAATTATTTAAGATTAAATTAAGTTTCTGGTCAAACACAGTCAAAATATGTTTGCGGCCGTAAACAGAGTTCACGGTCAGAGGAGAGTTTGCGGCCGTAAACTTTGAGTTTACGTTCGTAAGGTGTTTGTGGTTTAAGGTTCACGGTCCAAGAACAATCAGTTTCCGGTATATGAATGATCTTTATTCACAGCCCAAGAACACAATTTACGGTACAAGAACTGCTAAGTGTTTGCGGCCGTAAACTGAGATTACGGCCGTAAGCTAAGGCCGTAAACTCTGAAACCTAAGAGAATTTGCAGATTTTTGACGAAACTAAAAACCCTTTTGCAGCAATCACCAACTTTAGTCGCAAACAGATGAGAACTTGGTCCAAAATCGATTGTAGAGTGCTTTTGACGCTGGTTTTGCTCTGATACCAATTGTAAGGTTCTAAAACGGATTTTACCAGTGATTAAACAACAAATACAATCAGTTAGCAATAAAGAACGAGTATAATAGAATAAACAAGCTTGCACACACTTTTCTATTAGAATCACGTATGGTACAACTTGCGGTTTACAGGAGTTGAGAATACCAAGACATCAACAACTACAAAAGACCTAGCAAACATCTATTTATACAACCTTGGGCTGGCCTTGGGTTTACGGCCGTAAACAGCTTACGGCCGTAAACTCCTTACAGTGATCGTAAACTCCAAACAACTTACTATAAGCTATCAAATGACCAAAATAACCTACTACATAGAAAGCCTAGACCAAACCACTAATTAGACATTTCAATATCTGGAACATATATTACCAAAGGGACCCTAAGGATCCATAAAGTTGCCAACTTTATGGAACCTAACCATTAAACTCTCACGATCATGGAGAAAAGGGACAAGAAACCTCGATCAAGGAGCACTAAACATAAAGCTTGGAACTTGAGGACCTACAAAAGTCCAAAATGTGAGCAAGAATGAGGAGAGGAGATTAGCTTGCTAGATCTATGCACCAAGTGCTTCTTTTTCTTCTTTAAAGCACCAATAACACTCAAATGACAAAATGGAGGCTAGGGTTTATGTTGAGGGTGAAAGGGAGGTGATGAAGGTTAAGGGTGTGCAAACCCTAGCCCTTACTTCCCTTACATAGGGGCAAAAACCCCAAAATTAAGGTTTTTGCATGTAGGGGTTGTCACGTCGTGACATCTAATGAGATGCGTGTTTTCATCGGGCACCACCACATGTGACACACTCATGCTCACATCATGGCCAAAAGTACATCCTTTAAGACATAGGTTGACAAACTCAAAAGTGATGCTTACCTTAAACTTGGTGTTACAGAATGAGAGAGGAAAGGTATTTCGGGTTGACTAGAGATGGTGATTAAGTTTGTTACTTTCTTTCATGTTTTATTTCTTGCATTTGTGCTTAATCAAGTACTATGTATTCTACAATTCTATTTTTATTTCCTGTCACATGGTAATCAAAATCAACTATGTTTCCTGTTATATTGGTAATCAGTTATGTTTACTGTCTTTGTATTAATTGAGCATGTATTATGGAAAAGCAAGTATGTTTACTGGTTTTTGGGTTAATCTAGTATGTTTATTGGTTTTGGCTCAATCAATTGGGTACACCGTACCGGACCACAAGGTACACTATACCGGATCGTACTCGTCCTTACCGAAATGAGCCTACTCCCCTCCGTACCCCCGATACACTCAATTTAGCGAACCTCATACTCATTTCTCATTCCCTTACCGAAGCATACCATGTTTTAGGTAACTGTAGATTGATTATCAATGGATGGAAGTCTTTTTTTCAATAGAAAATCGATTATAAAGTTGAGGAACGGAGATGGGATTTAGTCTGACGTGAGCCGAGGTGCGATTTATGAATGAAAATGTAAATATGTTGATTGTATACATGGAGTTAAGGTGTGGTTGATTATATTTTGAACTTCAAATTGATGACTGATGATTTATTAATGAAAAAATCATTTTCGAAGTTTGGAAAACGAGAATGAGAAGACTCCTCGAGTCCATGGTAGTCGATTCTCGCTTTGGCGGTTTGTCCTTTGGGCTTTTGATTTACTATTAAATAAAAACATTTGGAGAATTAAGGACTACAATTCTAATATTCATAAGCAGTTTAAATCTTTGTCCGTTTCGTTTACCCGCTATGCATATGTAAAACTTTTATTATATTTCAACTTAAACCATAGGAAAAATATTAGAAGCCAATCAATAATAAAAAAATGTATTAGTTCAACACAAAAATACATACATTAATATATGAAATCTCATCATATCGAGATTACTACAGAACAACAAAAATGGTACAAAAGAACAAAGCAAGGAAAATCGATTTAACAGTGACATCACTAGGAATCTTTCCTTTATCTCTCCGAACAAAAAGTCCCAAGTACAACGGTACATTAAGTAGCACCAATACAAAACAAAGTACAATATGAATTGCCATGGTCTCGTAGTACGCTTCCCGGGTTCTCGTGTCCATTAAACATTGATTTTATAGCAAACCCCGAGAAAACATATCATATTGATTATCGACTGTGTAGCCACCGCTATTGACAACGGTGATGACACTCCAAACTCTATCATCTCTTTCTCGTATCTCTCATGAACATCGGTATCTATTACCTTTGAACTGATTACGAATGATAAATCGGAGCCCAAGATGGTGTCGAGTAACGCAAAGAGGTAGGAGCTTGTTCGCTTGTATAGCCAAATTCTCCGGTCATTCCACCACCCTCTTGTGGTGCCACCACAGCGAAGAAACTCAAGGTAGTTATATGCGGTGATGGAGATTATGATGTATGCGTATGGGAGAAACCATATACTTGATACCTGATCAATATCACCAAAATTGTATGATTTGTAGCACAATATGTCCGGAGAATAACCTAAACAAATTTACTTTTTCTTTTAAATTATTTATTGCTCTTTTTTTATAGTTTAAATATAGTTCAATACAAATTGACTTTTGTAACTATCGTATTTAAAACAGGATAATCGCAAAAATGAATTAGTTGTGATAGCAGTCATTGGAGCTAAATCTATAGGATATTTATGGTCGGCATAACTGCTAAGTGGCCACATACATACCTGAGGGAAAAGTTGAACATCGTTTAGGAGACAAAGGGATGGGACGATAGAGTAATAGATGGTTGGCAAGGAGGAAGTGGCCCATAAACAATACATCATATACCCCATTAGTAGACCAGGGTGCACCCTTCCGATCCCATACCAAGCCGGGCTATACTTTGAGATCAAAATCATTAAATCGCCCTCCGACCACCGTTTATGCTGCACCAGGGTCTGGTCGAGAGTGGTTGCTGCAACACCTAGAAACGCGTTTCTTTTTGGATTGTGGAACACCGATTTCCATCCTCGACAGTGGATCGATAGCCCCGTTATCACATCTTCAACCGGACAACCGTATTTCAACCCAATCTACAACATAAATTATTTAACATAATTTTGGATTCTCACGATAATAACGAATATATATATATATATATATATTATATATATATATATATATATATATATATATATATATATATATATATATATATATATATATATATATATATATATATATATGGACTTTCTGAAAAGAAACATGTAAAGTAAAACCTCTTTGCCCCATTCGGTATCGCTTTCGAAGGTGCAGCTCGCAAGAATCTGTATATTTTCGGTCTCTCTCTGATTGCAATGGGTATCCTTCTCTGATTTCCAATCAGTTAATTTACTTCCTTGATCACTACTATTACAGAAGCTTTTTCCTGACAGAATGTCTCTCCGGTGAAAGCAGCCGGTTCCGACATATAAAGGCCCATCAATGCCATCCAAACCATGGAAATCGACCTTCATTAACCAACAAATTAAAAGTTAAAACCCATTAATTAGTTAATCTCACATCATATATATTATATACGTACATACACTCTAAATCATTAATTCAAATACATCGTTAATGCATGTTACATCTTAATTTCACCTCACGAAGTACTCTAAGAGAACCACCATAGACTTCGTTCTTTGTAATATTTTCGAAACACTGCGGGTACTGCACGAAAGCGATCTCGTGGCCTTTTTCTTCGTCCAAGAAGAAACAAAGTGCATCTTTGATGGTATCACTGCTATTCGAGTACATATCGCAATCCACATTCAGTATTATGGGCCCATTGCTTATCATGGACGACACCCTAATCTGCATTTTTTTTAATCATGGACCCACGTACAAAATGAAAAACGGAAGCAGATATATACTTACCAGTGCATTCATGGCTCCAGCCTTGAAGTTATGGAAATGGTCTGGTCTCTTTTCTCTAGCCATATATACTAGTTTTGGAAGGCTATGCCCCTCTGTATCTTCATCGTGATCAAGTAAGATCTGGATACACGTATAAAACTAGATTTAATTAATGGGATGGGGCTATTCGAATTGAAAACGAAGTAGGCTAGGTCGAACGAATGAGAGTGAATTAGCAGCTAGCTAGCGTTTAATTATAATTACTTGGACGATGGCAGCGTGATCCCGTGGAGATGTAAACGAATCCCATTCCAGAAATCCTTGGTGTTCTAGGCGTAGTTTTTTGGGAACTCTTCCAATGTTTGTCACCTTTTCAATACGATTCTTCAGGTCTTCAAATAATCTCTGCTCTCGAAAGAAAACATTTTCATTTTGAAAGACGTAAGAAACAATGCATATATATTGTATTCCCATATCCACATATCATCTTCTAAGAAAGAAAAAAATACTACCTGAATGACAATGAAATCCTGCCGGTGTTTTGTATGATCCCGTGGAGATGCTGCTGATTTGAAATAGGCGGCCGGGGAGAGTGGCTCGACCTTGTAATTTCGGCAGTAGGGCAGCCAGTGCTTGGAGAAGATGGCAGCCTGAGTGAGAGCATAGAACGTAAGTTCGGAGCCACCGTCGTCCGAGAGGTAGACGGAGAGCTTCTCCGGCGGGTAGTCATAAGCCATCACCGACAAAACAGTGCTGACCACCATCATTGGTGGCTCGATTACCGGGTCAGCTGTGCAAACGAATAAGTCCACCCGCGGCAACTCGTTTCCGAACCTGTTCTCAGTATTCACATAATTAACCCTTCAAAAACTCATAATCATATATACTTCCCTTGCCGGACTGAAAAATCCATGAATTGGGTCGAAATTTACAAAAAATACAATCTAAAAACTCTTTACTACACAAATTAAAAGAGGCCATCGCCATTGACTTTCAAACTTATTAGATTATGTATTAGAAATTTGGATATGACGGGTAGGAGACAAAACCGGTGGATTGTTTAATAATAATAATAATAATAATAATAATAATAGTAATTTTTTTTCATAACAATTAGTATCAAAAATATACTTTCAATCATTTTTCAAGGAGTCTATTGATTCAACATTTTGATCAGCTAGAATAATAAAATATTAGAGAAAAAATACATCATTGCTAAACAGCCAAATGATTGATTTTCCACAAGAAATATGAATTTAAAATTTTGAACCAGCAACAACGTTGTAAAAGAAAAATAAAAAGTTGACCTTTGGGTGAGCCTCTGTTTGAAGGTCCGACGGTGGGTCGGATTCCATCGGACCGACTGAGTCAACATCCAATACAGACCGAACCATAGCTCAGCTGCAAAACTTCCGATCCAAAACCACCTCCCGGAAGCCGACGCCACTAACGTTGCTCTGTAAACCCA